GGAACGAACGCAGGGTGCGCATGGGAAAAAGTATCCTTTTGATCTAACATGTAGTGCTTCGTTGAGTTTCAGATAACATATTATTCATCATAACAATATATATATATATATATATTAAGATATCTATATGTAAGTGCACCCATTGATCTGTGGATTTGCAAGCTAAGAAAAGGGGTTAGTGTGGAATGTACCGTTTCAATAAGTGTGATGCCCCAATATTACAACTACATCATAAAGAAATCAGTAAGAGAAGAAGAGAGAGCAGGGGCTTCCTGGACAACCAGAACAAGTTATGTCAGTAAACTAGAATTGTTGTCCTTGGCAGACTTCATGTAAGCTCTTCGTCTGTCGTTTTCGATACCACGTTGCCATCGATATCGATGTCGTCGCACACACGGGCGTTTGGCAGCAACAGGGTCAGCGGGATGACCAGGAGCGGTGAGAGTATGTGACCAACAATGATAAGCCACGGGCCATTTTTGAAGTCACACGGCGGAACACTTTTGATGGGCCACGCATACTCCATCAGGATGGCACCTATCGAGGTGCTGGTGACAATACCGAGGTTGCCGAAGGCAGCTAGGAGCGCATACACCGTGCTTTCGGAGCCTCGTGGGCACAGACGCGACAGCAGTATTACCAGTGGCATCCATGCAAACATGTGGCACACATGTTCAATGATGGCGTCACCACAAACGTACATAACGTGGTCGGGAATGCCGATCTTTACATTCCAACGCTTGAGCATGATAAGGTCGAAGACGGAGGCAGCCACCCATAGAAGGGTTGTTACAACCAAGCATAAACGGTATCTCCATCTCAAGAAAACATATCTGAACACCATGATACCGACTAAACCAGCCAGGTTGCCGATGATGCCAACAGCAATAGTATTGTAGAAAGTATTAGAGAAGTGCGGCCCGTCAGGAAGGCAATTTTCTTTAGCAAGGTAGAAGCTGTCCAGAAGACCAGGTAGCCGTATGTAGAGCACCATATTGAGATAAATCATGACGATAGCCTTAGCAATAATGAGCGGCAGTGCCCAGAAGGACATCACAGAGCACACCAGCGACACCACTATGCAGATAATAAGCAACCATAGCTTACCTGCAAAAAGGTTACCAAAAGCCATGATTATGGCCGCGGCTGTTATGACAGCGCTGCATATAATAATCCTCTTGTTCCGCATGATGACCTCCTTGTTGATCTCGATAAGTCCACAGCAACCGATGATCGGCTGCGGCAGCAGAAGCTCTTCTGGGCTCGCCTCCAATTGTAGAGCCTTTCCCTGATCCACATCGAGACTGCCTTCCCTCTCCTCCTTGCAGCATAGGGCTTTCCTTTTCTCGAGCCCCAGGAGCAGCTCCTTGTGCATGATACGTGCATCCTCAATGCGCTCCTCGCAGTTCAGCTTCTCGCCGTACAGGTTGAAGAGGTAGATCAAAGATGCAAGTAACAGCATCCCAGCGGCGATAAACACGCCGACTTGCGGCATATTAAGATCAGATAACGGGCCCTGGAGAATAGAGGCCAGCAAACTCCCTATGGTAATGATCCACCAGACCCAGCTCACCAGCGCCGGCCCAGCCTCGGGGATCTTACGCATAAGACGACTGTAATGGCCTTCGGAAAGAATGTCCACAGTGGCAATACCATAGTTACTCAGAGAGACAAAAGCAGTAGCAAAATCAGCAGACGACGGATTGGCGGGCAACAAGCCGTAGAGCAACGCGAAGACACTGCCCACCACGCACGAGGCAAACATGTACCAGCGCTTTGTATAACCGAGGAAGGCGAATGTATCGCATAGCATGGCAGTAGAGGCCTTCATGGCCCCAGCAATCTGCATAACGGCTAAGAGCCGCTGGTAGCGGGCTGCATCTATACCAAAACGGGTTCGAAGCATAGGGAAGCGAGAAAAAACAAAAATATTAGAAGCGAAACCCTTGCAGAGCAGGTAGGATAAGGCGAGGCCGATGGTGCACGCGGGGCCGTATGCTTTGCAGACCTCGCCGAAGATGGGAATGCGGCGCAGCACCGGTGCGCGGTCGAAAAGGCGCTTCGCGCCGGGGTGGAGGGGAACGCTAGCGTCGTCCTCGGCAGTGCTGAAGGCGCGGTCGGGCTGCCGATCCGCTTCCTCGGCGTCGTACGGGTGAGAGGTGCCAGCGTGCCTCGCGATTGGGTTCATCGTGGAGTGATTGATTGTTTCTGGGGCTCACCGAAAAAGCAAAAGACCTCTGGACCTGATGGCAGCAGTCACTTGTTGGCTTCCTTACAGATGGCTTTGTGGTTTCTCACGTGCGTCAACCTATTGAGTGTATCAGTGTATCAGTATGTCTGTTGAGAGGCTAAGCTAGAGACAGTGTGGGGAGAGAGACAAGGGAGAGAAGACACTAGATTAGTGGTGAACCAAAAAAAACAGGACGGCGGCACTTACCATGCTCGCAACGGTGCTTGAAAAAAACACAGATTAACTGCCATAAGCCCTGGAAGGGCTGCGCTACAGTGGGAGAGGTTCTGGAGAGGAATGGCTAGTGCGCTAGAGGGTTTTTACAAAGAAATGGTAAAATCAAAAAGATAAAATAGGATGGTAACACTCATATATCGTTTTTAAATAATTCCACTGGATTTATTTCGCGAAAAGTAGGATTTCGTTCCTCTGTTTAGCACTACTTTGCGACTATATTAGAACTAAAGAAAAAACAGCCAGTGCCCCAGCGAAGCGCTCGGCGTGTGATCCCCAGATTGTGAATGGCTGCACGCTATAACAGAACGCAGGGAGCCGCATGAAAAAAGTGCCATTAAAACATACTACCCAGAGTATGGATTGAATTTTAAATAACTACAACACTGAATCTAAAATAAAGAGGAAGAATAAAAATGTTTATTTATACTAAAAAAATCAATTAAATGTGTACCGATGTGCAAATGCAAAACAAAAAGGTAAAATAAGATTACAACACGCACGTATCGTTTTTTTTTAATAATTTCGCTAGATTTATTTCGCAAAAAGTAGGATTTAGTTTCT